AGCTGCGGGGGGACAGAGCCCCGGTGGGCATGGGCAGCCCTTGCTGGCGCTGGGAGCTCCTGGGCTCCATGCCGGCGCACAAACCCCCGCAAGCCATGCTCGCCCCCCGCTTGTGGGAGGTCTCCTTGGGTGGCACCACGGTGGCTTTGGAGGCGCGAGGGACCACGAGTGTCACGGCTGGGGCATCCTGCGCTCGAGCAAAGCTTGGGGTGCGCTGAAAACGCCAGCACCGGGGACCGCCCCATCGCGTGCAAGAAGGGGAGCGTGACACCAAACCAACCCCCGGGTGGGTTCCCTGGTTGGGCTGGGGAAGTTGGGCTGAGAGGCTCCGTCCCCATCCACCCCACCGCAGGCAATGGACAGCGGAGCCCATGGGATCCTTATGCTCCCACCCTTCTCCCCAAGAGCAAGCAAAATCCTCCACTGAGGAACTGAACCCGGGGAGAGGAGAAGCTGGGCCTTGGTGGAAGGAGCTGAGATGCCTTCAAAGGCCTCCTTTGGGGTGAGGAAGGAGACATCTTTGGGATTTGGGGTCACCAGAGCAGAGAGGGGCAGCGCTTACCAGGGCTCCGAGGTGGCTGGCTCTTCCCCAGGATCCCGTTGGCCGAAGGAGCATCCCCGGAGGGTGACGCAGCCCAGCCCAGTCCACTGCCGGAGGCAGAAGGAAAGAGCCATTTGGTCGTACGAGGTCAACTTGATGTCCTGCAAGTCTATGTCGGTGAAACCAGCCAAGGCACTTTGCGCAAAGCTTTGCTCATTCATCTCGAACAAGAAGTGGAAAGTGTCCAACTGGGAAACCTTCGGCGCCTGGCTGGGATGGGAGGTGCCTCTGTGCCTCCCCTGAAGCCACCTCAGCAGATCTTCTCTCGCCCGTGGTGAAATTCTGCACCCGATCATTTTGTCTGCATAGTCGATGGATTTTTGGCTGACCAGACCAAACACGAACCGCACCATCAAGTTCAAATCTTTCCTGGATTTGCTGTAGCTCTCCAATAACACAGTTACATCCTTTGCGAGGGCCCTCGACTCACTGACTGCTTCCTCATCGTCCTCCAGAACATAAAACATCGCGGCAAAAAACTCCTGGAGGTGCAGGTGGGTGAAGCTGTAGATGTTCCCACAGTCTACACCTTTCCTTGAGAGCTTCTCGTTGAGGAAGAGGGGGAGAAATTCAGGCTGCTCCAAGCCATGGGCCTTGATATCCTTCTCCTCAAAGAGGACCTTGTGCTTCCAGATGCCATCCGCAGCCAAGAGGCAGAGCTTGCGCAGGAAGCGCTGGAGGTCCTGCGGGTTGTCCCTGCCTCTGCACTGCATCAACCAGGAGAGGTAAAACAGGCTCATCTGCGTGGTGGCTTTAGAGCACTCCACGAGGTTTTTCTTCTTGGAAAGCTCCTGTTTGAGGATGGTGCAGATGGTCCAGCTCATGACAGGGATGACGCACAAGCTGTAGAGGATCTCATTGCCTCTGGCAAACCTGAAGGCTGCATCGGCTTTGCCGTCGTTCTCAAAATACCTGTGGAAATACTCCTCCCTCATGGCTGCCGAAAACCCCAGGATTTCCATGTAATACTCACCCTCCAGGCACCGGGCCAGGCTTTGAAGAGCCGTCGGCCTCGTGGTGATGAGCAAGGAGGACTTGGGGAGAACAGTATTCTTCATCAAGCTCATCAGGGTGGTTTGCAGTGTCTTCACTTCCCTGGGGTCAGAGCTCAGCTCGTCTTCGGGCTGAACCAAGGAAAATCCCAGGGCCTCAAAGCCATCAAAAATGAACAGGATCTTCTTCTGCTCATCCAGGATCTTCCCAGCTGGCATTTGCCCGTGAGGGCAGCACGCTGAAACCAGGTCTGCCACACTTGCTTTCTTGGTAAAGGCAATGTCTCTACAGTCAAGGCAGAAGACGTAGTCAAACTGCGCGTAGAAGGTCCCTTCCACCCACTCTGCCATCACCTTCCTGACCGTCATCGTCTTCCCCATCCCTGGGGCCCCCACCAGCACCACAACCTGCGGCGTTTGCCCATCTTTGTCGGGTTTAAACAGCGTCTGCGCCGTGACGGTGGCTGGTCCATCGCCGGCATCGGCGCACCCGCGGCCGGTGCCCGCAGCTCCGTGCTCACCTCCGTGCTGGCTCCGAGGCTTCCTGGCGATGGTCAGGTCGGTGTAGCGGCTGCTGAGGCACAGGTTCTCCCCGAGACGGGCGTTCACTTCTTTGTACCGGAGGAACTCCCTGGCCACGTGCTCTCTGTATTTCCGCTCGTACTCTGCGCCGGCAAGAAGCAGAGTCAGTCCCAGGCGCAGCCGGATTCCCGAGGAGCTCCCAACCAGCCCCACCGCACCCCCGACACACCAGCGGGACACTCGTCGGAGCACTCAGGGCTTTCCCAAGTCTGGCAGGGGCGATAAGGGCATCATCTACGCCAGTTTTGGGCCTCTGGTGGGTCGGGGGGGGTCCTTCTCCTCTCCCGTGTCCCCCCATCATCCTGATCCATTGACTCCTGTTTTAATACCCCCCTGCACCCCTCACCCGCCCAGGGGGCAAACGCCACTGCCTGTGGCCTCTGTCCCCCTCTGCTCGTGTCCCTGGGGCCAAAGGCTCCATCCCTGGGCTCCCGGGGACGGCTCTGGCCGCGAAGTGCTGCCAAGCACGAGCTCTGCAGAGATGCCCTTCATCCCCATCCCAGGAGGAAAGGATCTGCCCAGCCACCTGCCGGGTGGTGCTGAGCACCAAACACTCTTCTCCAGGTGCCAGGGGAACCCAGCAGTAAGTGGGGACAGAAGAGGAGAGGTCACCATAACCGTCACGCTACTGGGATCCCAGCGGGACATCTTCGTGTTTCCAGGCTCCCTGGGAAACCAAACCCTGCCCTTCCTAACTTCTACCTGTCTCCAGGATGACCCAAGGGAAAAAGAGAAAAAGAAAAGCAAAATTTACTCCGGCTTCCTACCTTTCACCTTCTCATCCAGGAGCTTCTCAGCGAGGTCTCTCATGTTCATCTCTTCAAACAAGCCAATTGCTACGTCCATTGCGGCATCTTTGCTGTAGTTCTTGCCCATGCAGCTGGCAAGCGTGCAAGGGTGGGTGGCCTTCGCCAGCGAATCCTCGGGGATATTCCATCCTCTTTCCATGCGAACCTCCGATAACTTTGTCTTAAACTCCTGAAAGTCTTTTGGTGTGAGACCCTGCAGTGCTTGTAAGAGAACGGCCAGCGCACGCTCTT